CCCCAAAACCCCAAAACCCCAAAACCCCAAAACCCCAAAACCCCATAATTCAAACCCAAGCTTGAGTAACCCAGAAAAGAATAAACTTGAATAACTTGATAAGAAAATTCGAATACGGTAAGATCCGATTCGAAGTTTCATAAACCACAGTTTGTCTAGGTCCAAGATTTTATGAAGAGAGATACACTAGAGGGTATGGGGAGTTTAGAGAGGCGTTTTAGGGGTAATAGGTTATTAGTTAGATAATTAGGGATTGAATCCTTAAAGGACTTGGCTAATAAGCCAGTAAATATACCAGGTTTAAAAATCTTCGTTGTTGGTGTTATTTATGTGATCAGAACGCGCCTTCATTTCTAGATATACGAGTTCTTGCATATCGGAAAAGTCGCAATCTGATAGCCAAGGATGGGATGCGATGTCTTCAAGGCTGATTCTGTAAGAAGCATCTTCTTGGAGCATTTCACTTAGAAGGTCTTTTGGTGAGGAGTACCTCTTCTCTGATTAGTATATCCTTCTGATTCAGAAACATCAACAACTGTTCCAAGGTCAGCAAGCTTAACATTGAAAAAGCAATCTAATAAAATATTTTCAAGTTTGATATCCATGTGAGCATATTTTTCATGAACAAATTTCACCGCAGATAATAGTTGCACAAATAGAAACTTAGCCACATTCTCCTCGACTGGTCCAGTCTTTCTAATGATACTAGACAAAGCTCCATTTTGTCATTTTTCCATCAACAAGTAGTTTATTGAATGAATTCCATCAGCTAATTGGGCTCTTCCGTCTGAATTGTAGCTAATAATGTTCACTAAATTAGGATGGCTTCCTAATTTGAGAGAGAGTAAGTACTCATTTTGCACGATTTGGCGCGACAGCTCCTCCGAATATCCCTTGTCTTTCCTAATGACCTTTATGGCGTACTCTTGGTCATCCTTTGAGGTGGCATTGTAGACTTTAGAGGAGCCTCCAATTCCCAATAGCTCTTTTAGTTGGTAAGTATTATCAATCATGTTATATTATTTAAATATAACATCCCAATCAGGGGTTATTTTTATGGGGTTTTGGGGTTTTGGGGTTTTGGGGTTTTGGGGTTTTGGGGTTTTGGGGTTTTGGGG